AGTTGTGCTGGGCACCAGGTGTCACTAACGAGCCACCTTTGAGTCTTGTCTTCCGTCTCTGCTGGCCTGAGTGAAGGAGTCTCACTACTTTCAAGGGTTCTTGCCACCAGCCCCTGCCTCCAAGCAGAGCAGGAGGGTCTGGCCTACAAGTTCAGTAAATAGTGGCCCAGCTTGCTTTCATCACTTGCTTGTATGAGGCAGTTTGACCACAGGGGAATGGTGTTAACTGAGAAGTCTCAACCTCCTCGCCTAACTGGGGTCCTGTCCTGGGACAAACCGCGTACTGTAGAGGCTGCATCCATGTTCCGTTTTAGGAAAAGCACAAGTTGGCCCAAGTGGAAATGGGCTAGAGAACACATATGTAGCCCTGCGAGGGGCTGCGAGACGAGGACCCACTTCCCTGCATGTAACCACTACGTCTTTTTTGGGGGAATAGAAAGGTGGTCTCATGCTTTGTATCTGCTTTTTGTTTCTTCCAGACATTTCAGCATTTCCACAGGCAGCCCCATTCCCAGATGCAGTGGCCAATAGCCGGTGAGCATTGCTATGCTGTGTCCCCTTTCTCTTCCATGGGGACTTTTGAGACCTGGACCCACATCCCTGACCATCTCCCCACCCCACCTCTGACCTCCCACTCTGCACATCACTGTGAACCCAGAGCAGCCAAATGGCAAACTCCTTGGGCTAATTCACCTTCCAGATCAGTGAACTCAGCCAGAGGGTTTTATTAGCCTCTTATCAGTATAGTCCCACTCTGCACATCACTGTGTACCCAGAGCAGCCAAATGGCAAACTCCTTGGGCTAATTCACCTTCCAGATCAGTGAACTCAGCCAGAGGGTTTTATTAGCCTCTTATCAGTATAGTCAACATCGGATGGGGCTGTGAACCTGGAGCAGTTTTGTGACTCAGGAGGAGAGGGCACTCACCGTTAGAGAAACCTGATAAAAAAAAAAATAGCTCCTATTTATGGAGCCCTTTCTCTGTGTCAGGCCACTGAGCACCTGGCTCGCGTTCTCAAGTAGTTATTGAATTAGTACAGATGGGGAAGCCAGCTCAGAGATGTTAAGAAATTGCATAAGTCACACAGCTAGGATGCGACAGAACCAATTCTCAAGTAAAATTTCGCATCCCGTGCTTCTGCTTGGCACCCTCGTACTGGCTGTCAGATTTGAAAGGGGTTGTGATGGTTATTGCCCACTCCTCATTCTCCACCGCCCTCAGGTTAGTCTGGAGAAGGCCAAGGTTGGAGAAGGGATTTGGGGCTTGGTTCTCGGCCTCCTGACTATTTCCACAGCATCAAGACGGCCTTTCTCGCAGCCAAGTGGATCAAAGTAAGGATCCAGGCATGATGGCCATTTCTCAGCCTCACACAGGGAGTCCCTCATCTAGCTGAGAGCAGAAGAGCCCACCCTCAGGGACTCCTTACAAATCCTGTTTTACTCTTAGGCTCGATGACCAGCCGAAAGCAAACGTGTTGGAGGATCACGAAGTGGAGGTGAGCCACAGAGAGTGCCTTCTCTCTTCTCCCCTTCTCCCCATCTCAGCACGCATGGGGCTGGGCAGTGCATGGACACCGGCCACTGGCAGAGGCCTACTCAGGTGCCTGCTGTAGCAGATGTGGGCAGATGTGCATGGCAGGGAAGAATGATGAGGGATGCAATGAATTAAGCTTCATTTTGCTTTTCTAATTTGGAGGCTAAAATAAGCTTAATTCTCATGGTTCTCACCCCCAGCCCAGAGGCTTGGGCCCCAGACTCTGCTTCAGTCCATCTGGGATGGGGCCAGGCATTGTTGTCAAAGCTCCCCGGGTGACTCTGATTATAGTGGGGGCCAAGAATTACTGCCTTGACCCTTGAACCACAGTGTAAGCTGAGCCCGGCTCCCTGCAGTGCAGTGTGGCTTAAAGAATGCTAGCAGACTTATTGACTCCCACCCAGAGAAGAGTCAAAAACTGTGTTTTAACAAAATGTGGTTGAATTTTTCACGCCAGGGGATGTTATCACTCTTCCCTAATGATTAGATGTCACTCATAGGTAGGTCTTGGAGCGTTAGGGGAAGAAAGGTCTCAGAGCCCACCTGAATCAAGGGCTGTACATGCTTGCTACTCTCCGCAGCAAGCTAATGCAGAGCTGCTACTTGAACCCAGGCCTCCTGATCACATGCCTGTCCTCCTCCCTTACCTGGTTGGGGCTCTGGGGAAGGGAGGTCAGCTGAGCCCAGATCTGCTGCCCCTCTATTCCGTCCTCCTGTCATTCTAGGCCGAGGAGCCGGAGGCTGGCAAGTCAGAGGCAGAAGACGATGAGGACGAGGTGGATGACTTGCCCAGCTCCCGTCGGCCCTGGAGGGGCCCCATCTCTCGCAAGGCCAGCCAGACCAGCGTGTACCTGCAGGAGTGGGACATCCCCTTTGAGCAGGTGGAGCTGGGCGAGCCCATCGGGCAGGGCCGCTGGGGCCGGGTCCACCGTGGCCGCTGGCACGGCGAGGTGGCCATCCGCCTGCTGGAGATGGATGGCCACAACCAGGACCACCTGAAGCTGTTCAAGAAAGAGGTGATGAACTATCGGCAGACACGGCATGAGAACGTGGTGCTCTTCATGGGGGCCTGCATGAACCCACCCCACCTGGCCATCATCACCAGGTAACCCAGCCGCTGGCCCTTCCTAGGGTGGCAGCCTTAGCCTCCCCTTCTCCGGGGGCCCTGTTATTTACGTAGATGTTCTGGAGGGTATGGAAGTGTTTGTTTTTGTTTTTCAATTTATTTTTCAATTATGGTTGACATACAATATTATATTAGTTTCCTGTTCTAGGGTGTGCAGGCCCTGGGACTCCAGATCGGGTGCATACGAGTATGTTTTTGTACATTCAGGCCAGGCCCCAGAAGGAATGGAGTCAGGCTTGGTTAGGAACAAGAAATCTGGCACCCACAGTCCAGGGGTTGGAGAGAGCCTTCCAGAGGCTGGCGGGCACAGCTGTCTCCACAGCTCCTCCTGGGCTGCACAGAGGCTAAGGTCAGGCTGCACTGACCCCAGACCTCTGCCTGACCCCACCACTCTCGACAGCTTCTGCAAGGGGCGGACGTTACATTCATTTGTGAGGGACCCCAAGACATCTCTGGACATCAATAAGACCAGGCAGATTGCTCAAGAGATCATCAAGGTAAAGGGGCACCCGCCCCTGCTCTGTCTGTTTGTGTCAGGGTGGTGGTGGCTGCTTTGTCTCTCTCCCTTAGCTGGGCGTTTCAAGGGTAGAACCCCATTTCCTTCCCTCTGTTCGCATCTTGTCAAGTTGGGGCCTCAAACTGGACACTGGGTTGGCAGTGATGGAGCTGAATTGGTCGGGGAGGAATGTAAGGCTTTAAAGACAGATGACCTGAGTTTGAATCCTGGTCACACCAGCTTTGTGGCTTCGGGCAGGTCATCAAGGCTCTCTGAGCCTTGACTTCCTCCCTTATGAGATGGGGATACCAATGTAACCTCCCTCATTGGATTGGTGCATGGAGTAACATTGGATAATCCACTTATTGGATAATCCAGCTTGGGCACAAGGTCAGCACTTGGTGAGAGGCTGTTAGGATTGTTGGGAGCTGGGGAGTTTCATGACAGACCCTCAGGCTCAACTTAGGCAGCCTTTTTTCTTTATTCTTTTAAAGTAGTTAAATAAAAATAAAAGAAAAGCTTATTTGTTGCTTTATTTAACAACAAGCCAACATAAAAACTAGAATACTGTGGTTAAGGGTTCTTCTTTTCTTGTTTTTGTTGAAAAGCTTTCTCTTAGCAGCTCTCCCCAAGTCTGCATCCGTTTCCTGTCTTTCTCTCCTGTTCTTCCGTTGTAATCCCTGGCTCCTTCCTTCCATCCTTTTTTGTGGGGATGTCTTTTGAAAGGAAAAGATAAGAATCACGGTGACTGGTATGGTCAAATCAAGATCTCCATGTGACATCCCCATGTGGCTGAGCTAATGAATTAAACGTGCAAAGTCCTCAAACTAAAATACCACTTTAGGGATTCATTGAATCTGTTATTTCAGAGAAGTTGAACAGAGCTGCAGAGTTTCATACCTACTTCATGTTGTCCCCAAACTTACTTGCTAGGCCCTGCTGCCCACTCTGCCCTCTTCCTCCAATAAGGTTTCTTCTCCTTATCGTCAGAACACTGAGCCATCCGGAAGATTCTAGGACAAAAGAGAAAAGTTACTCAAAGATTTTGAAGCTGCAGAGCTAGAAACTACCTCTACTGGCCTTTTTTTTTTTTTTTTATCCTGCTTTTTTATCCCCACCTTGTCTCACATTGCTGGGAACTTCTAAACCAACTTCCTTTTGTGCTTATCTCTGATGTCTTGAGGTTGGAAATACAATAATGGGGCATGACCTTTGGTTAGAAGGTTTTCAGTTTGAGAGGCTCTCTGGAAACACTGGAGGAGAGTTTATATTCCAGATTCCAGTGCTATGTGTTGCCTCTTTAAGCTGGCCTTTCAAGGCAGTGGCACATTTTTTATAAACAAGGCTTAGAGAGGCACAGCAACTTATCCTCTGTCACACAGCTGGTCCCTGTTCAGTATAAGGTAGGGTCGTTGGCTCTCTTTGGCCACTGAGGAAGAAGGCGTGTGCACTTGGTTAGGTTTTGGAAATGGGCAGATATTTTAAGAAGGATAATCTGGCATTCGGGATGGAGTTTTGGGAAGGAACAGTCACACTACCCTGGAACTCCCTGCTTCCATGGCAAAATGACAGCGCTCAGCAGGCTGGAGGGAAGTGGCCACAGCAGACCCCACATCCTCCTGTCTCTTGCAGAAGAGCATCTGTCTCGTGTAAACTCTCCTCTGACGTTCTTCAGACCCACTTGGACCGAGCTCTGGCCTCGGCTGAGTTCTGTCTGGTTCTGCCTCACATTCATTCTACTTCCTAAACGTGGCTTGTTTACTTTTCTACTCTTCACTCCAAATACCTTTAAAGCCAGGGGTATTTCTCATGTGTGATGCTCCCTTGAGTGGGAGATTGGGAAATAGATTTTCATATGCCTCTTTCTGAGGTGGCAGGGATGGGCATTTCAGTCATGGCATCTTGCCCCTGTTCCCAGGGTCATCAGAGTACACCAGAGTCCTGAGTTTGACATTAGAAAATACCATTGACCTTGGATGAGATCATGCCTGTGTCAGGTCACCCGCATCCCATACTCCTAGCCCGTCAGTGTTCATTCTATATTGAGTGTTGGTTAGAAATCACGGACTTCTGCCCTTTTGCCTGACAGATGAGGAAACTGAGGCTCAGAGAAGCCATACAAGGCCACACAGTGAATTAGAATCTGAGCCGAGATGGAACTCAGCCCCTGGATTTCAGTCGTGGTCCAGGACTCCTATCACAGCACAGTATTGGGACTTCCTGAACTTGGGGACTCCTTCTGTGGGAATTCCTCTTTGTTCCTCCACCTGAGCCTTTTCCCTGCCCAAGGGTAGAGGCCAGGTGGTCAAAGCCCAGATCACTCGTGTTACCTGTATGATATCATCATGCTTTATACACTTCCTGACCTTCCAGCTTCCTGCCCATCACCCTCTCCATACCTCACACTTTATCCAGGTATAAGGTGGATGTTGGATAGCACGGTGGCATGGAAAGAGCACAGACTGGCCTGAAACCAGATCTCAGCAATGCTATTTAACTGCTATGTGGCCTGGAGCAGGTGACCTCTCGCGGAGCTTGGTTTCCTCATCTGTAAAGTGAAGTCAATTACATTGCATACGGTTGTAAAGAGTAACTGAGGGGATGTGGGTAAGGCATCCAGCTTAGTGCCTGGCCCAGTTAAACGCTAAGTCATCGTCACTCATCTTCCCTCCCCCGAGATGAAGCTCACTTCTCTTCCAGGGAATGGGGTATCTACATGCCAAAGGCATCGTGCACAAAGATCTCAAATCCAAGAATGTCTTCTACGACAATGGCAAAGTGGTCATCACGGACTTCGGGCTGTTTGGGATCTCGGGTGTGGTCCGAGAGGAACGGTGAGTTGGCCTTGGGCATCTGGACAGAACAGGAAAGAACTGGGTGTTGCTGGGTGGGCCTGAGTCCAGCTGAGGTCTGGGTGCTCTTGCTGTCTGTTACTGAGGAGCAGCCCTCCTATAGGAAAAGCCAGTTTGCTCTGGTCCTGCCCCTGTGGTTCTGGACTAGAATTAGATTCGAGTGATGTTTAAGTACCTCATATACTTGATTCTCAGGCTGACACCCACGGAGTCTTGGTCCTCTCACTCACGTTTACCCCATCTGCTCACCAGCTTGGGCAGGACCAGGCCGGAGTGTGAAATTCACAGGCAGAGCTGATTTCCTGCCTGAAGATATATTCCAGTCTCCCAGGGTAGAGACTCGGGCACCTTCAAGTGCAGCTCCCTGCCAATACCCCATTTTGGCCCGCTTTCCTAGAAAAACCCGGTTATCACTCTTCTGTGACATTCCTCAAAAGTGCCAGTGCCTTTGCGAGTGCAGGATCAGCGTGCTGCTTCTCTGGGCCTAGTGTGGGTAGTGCGTTGGCCCTGGAGAAACTATATGCCAGACAGGCCTCTTTGCTGTCGGCTGAAAGACCTGATGTTCTTGCCCTGGCTTCTTGGCCTCCAGGCGTGAGAACCAGCTGAAGCTGTCACACGATTGGCTGTGCTACCTGGCCCCTGAGATCGTGCGTGAGATGACTCCCGGGAAGGATGAGGATCGCCTGCCGTTCTCAAAAGCTGCTGACGTCTATGCATTTGGGTGAGGAGGCCTGGGGCTCTCAGGGCAGTGTGGCCCAAAGAGTGGGCCCTGCCGGCCACTGGGGGTAGGGGAAGGTGTGCTCTGAGTCCTGGCTCTGCAGCTTGTTGGGTGAGTGGCCACATCCTTGACCTTCCCTTTCCCCCACCTGTAAAATGGGAGAATAATGGCACCTCCCTGACAGGGTTGTTTCATGAGGATGAAGTTAAGTAATTCTTGGTGTCAGTCTCACCTATTGCCCCATGAGGCCGTTCATGAGCACTAAGAGCTGTCCCTCTGGGAGAACTGGGACGTCCTGCCAGCTAGCTTCTAGTGCCCCATGAAGCTGGCCAAAAGGAAAACAGAAATAGAGAAATATAATGTGAGCCCAACATATAACTTAAAGTCTTCTCTTAGCCACATTCCAAAAGAAAAACAGGAAATCAGTTTCAATAATATATTTTCTTTAACTCAGTATATCCGAAATGGTATCCTTTCAACATGTAATCAAAATAAAAAATTAAGGAGATGTTTTATCCTACAAAGTTTTCAAAATCTGGTGGGTATTTTACACCTACAGCATACCTCAGTTCCACTCTCCACATGTCAGTTGCTCAATAGCCCCATGTAGCAAGTGGCAGCCACACTGGACAGAGGGGGTCTGACGGAGAAGTTCCCCATCCAGATAAGTTGGGAAAGGCTAGGGGACTTGGAGAGGCGAGTGAGGGCCTCACTCTGTAATCTCTCAGGGCATCTTTCTCTCAGCATTAGTCTCTTCCTCCCCTGACCTTTAACTGTCATTTCCCGAGCACCTGAGTATGCCAGGCACTGGGCTTGGCATATTTGTTACCCCTCAAACATCAGCTTCCGCTGAGGTTAACAGTCGTACCAGGATCTCTGTGAGAGCCTGTACTGCCTCAGACTTTCTACCACGATGGGAAGGCAGGGCCACAGACCCTCGAGTACCCAGGAGGAGCTTCCAAAGACACCGCCATGGTATTCCCTGAAGTCTGGAGAAGGATCCTGGCCCCTCTGGCTGGGTTCCTGCCAATGTGGTAGCAGGGGCCCCCGGGTGCATGCTGGGCCGTGCGGTCCAGGAACTCACACTGCATGGATGGCCTCCATAGGACTATTTGGTATGAGCTGCAAGCAAGAGACTGGCCCTTTAAGAACCAAGCTGCAGAGGCCTTGATCTGGCAGGTTGGAAGCGGAGAGGGAATGAAGCGAGTCCTGGCCTCCGTCAGCCTGGGAAAGGAAGTCACGGTGAGTAGCCACGTGTTCTTGGAGAGGGCAGAAGGGCAATGGGGTGGGGCCTGACGTAGCTCTCCTTCATTCACACACCTGAGAAGTGAGACCTAGAGGTAGATGTGTGCCAGGCAGACCTCTCTGCTGCGGGCTAAAAGGCCTGTGTCTTTTATTACCCTGCGGTTAACTTTTTTCTTTAAAAAAAAAAAAAGACTGAAAAGAAAAAAGATAATGGTTTTAACTAAATTATGAGATGAAAAGCCCTGTATGTTACATGAAGGAAAATAATAAAAAAATAATCACTGCACAAAATACAAATGGTGGGGTTATGCTGAGATATCAGATCTTTCTCCAGGTTTTTCTCTACTGTTCAAGAACAAATTGAAGTTTCCGAAGTAAATTTGTTTTCAAAATACTGAATCATAATACAGTTGCTGACCTCATGTTTCTGCATATTGTTAATGGTTTCTCTGCATTGCAGCTTGTAAGTTTCTTCTCCTTGACACAGTAACAGATAAAGGAACCAGGAGTCGGTTTTTTCAGTGCAGTCAGTGATAACCATGTGTCCATGAGGCAGATAAGACTGGCGTAGATAGGTGCCAGCCTGGGTGTCAATAAGTAACTCCAGTAGGAATCTTGGCGGTGTAACATTGGAAGTGTCTGGAGGAGGGCGCCTGCTGCTTTTCTAGGTTAAGATCTAAAGACCGCGAGTTTCTTATTAAAGTCATGAACAGTTTAGCAAGGTCCCCTCCTGCAAACTCTGGGGCAGGCAGAGCGTTTAATTCAACCTCATCTTCCTCCTAGATTGATAGATCTTATTCTTTTCCTCCTTTGACTGGTAGCCAGCAACTAGGGCATTTTCAGAAGGCTCGTTTATGGCATTTATTTGGTGTACTTTATTCTGCAGTAGTACATGTCATCTGGTTGAAGTGCAAAGTCTCTGTACAGGTGTGATCCTCCAAGAATAACACCAAAATGCTAAGTCTGTAGCACCAACACCAGGCTCTTCTTCGGCTAGCTGATACCACTTCATCTGGGGGCCATGGGCAAGGGGAGCAGGTGATGAGCGCCTCCCCAGTGCTCTTGGGCTCGTTCTTCTTTGCCCTATGGGCCAGAGCCACCTTCACCATGGCGGAGCCTTGGGCACCTTAGGAGGGTAGCAATGGGCTCAAAGTGTAGGATTTGGGCTCCTGCCAGTTGGGCAACTCAGAGCAGCTGAAGTAACTACTTCCTTCTAGTCTTTTTTTATTTTTTTAAACTATTTTAAAAATGCATATCTTTAACGAAATCAAGGTCATAACATATAGATGATTTTTTTTAAATGGTGACTTTTTTTCTACATGAGATTTTGTTATATGCTCATTAACTCAAATCATTGGCAGGTCCTTGTTTTAAAGCCTGTCTACCCTCTGTCCTATGGCTATGCCATAACATAATGGCTTCTCTGTTGTTGAGCATTTAGGTTATTTCCAGTTTATTAAGGACTTCTTTGTATAAACTAAAGTAGGTGCGTATGCTCGCTTTAGCTGAAAGAAAATATATTCTTAGTAAGTTGGCCTCCTGGCAACCATCTCGGTTACCTTTCTGAACACTTACTCTTGCAGTAGAGAGCGGTAAGCACTGTCTTCAAGGAGATGAAGGCTTGAGCACAGCACAGAGCCATCAGAGCCGCAAGGGAATCAGGGCTCAACACTGGCTACAAGTCAGAATCATCCAGGAGCTTTTTAAAGATAGCCAGGGCCTCCGCCAGAGATATTGACCTGGGTTGGGGCTAAGGTAATAGTTAATTTTTTTTTTTCATTTTTAAATAAAGCTTAGGTAGTTCTAGGGTACAGCCAGAGTTTTGATCTAATTGAAAGGATTTCTCATAGTGCAGAGTTATGGGTCCTTTGAAGCCTTGTAGTAATAAATTAGGGATGGGAGTGGGAAAGTGGGGTCAAAGAAAAATGTTCCAGCAGCCAGCCTCTGGCTCGCAAGAGTTGTCTTTCCTATCTGCTCTTTTCTCTTTGAAACACATTGCTATTTGAGGGTGGAGTGGTTGTTGGTAAATGGCAATACAAAAAAAAATTATTTTGAATTGTAGTCAGAAGCAGGGAGCAGCCTCTGAAGAACACCTTTCTCTGTCCCTCCAGCCACCTTGCTGTAAGTTCACCACCAGGCGCTGCTTTATGTACAGAGGCAGCCACAGTGAGTTAGTGTGGATGGGAATTCATCATGAGGCCAGAAGCATTCTTCATGAGAACAAACTGTCAGTTTCTTACCCTAGGTCACTTTCCAAAAGACTAATTTCTTGTTCCATCAGCTCTTCACTCCCTGCCCCTCTGCCTTTTTCTGTGATCGACTCCCATTAGCTTTCTCTTCACTCTTTTATTAGATAGATCGATTTTGTGTTGTCATGATTAAATTTTCCGTACTTTGTCTAAAGATTGAGGCTAAAAGTGAGAGGACAGTAAACTATGTGCATTATTATAATAGACTGTAATTGCCATTACCTATTGATGAGGTAATTCTCTGGGATTACATTTTCTTCTTTGTGAGTCCATCTCTTCCATTCCATCAGTTACTCAGAGTCTCACTATAATTTCGTTGGCTTCACATTTAGACCATGGCTTTCTTGCATAGGTTTTTCCTGTAGTTTCTAATTGCCTTTTTCTCTTGTTGAGAGGAGAGACGACATCTTTACCTTATTCCTGAGGTCTGATAGCTCTTTCTACATTCTGCTTATTGAGTGGAATCTGTTCCATTCTTTTCAGAGATTTCTTATAATTTGAATCAATGGAATTTTAGGCCTGCTGCAGAGCTGTCATCCTACTTCTTTTCATCCATTCCTGGGTCATTTACACAATTTCTTGTATCTCGAGTCTTCCCGTTTCTTTATTTGCACTCCAGCAAAATGAGAGTGAAACCTAAAGAAACTACTTCCCAGTGGATGCTAGGAGATAATCTTGGAATCCTTGCGTTCCTAAAATGGCCCTTATTTTGTCCTCACACCAGAAATAGAATTCTAGGTTCACAACAGTTTTCCCTCAGAACATAAAGATTTTGCTCTGCTGCCTAATAACTGTCCAGTGCATTATTGAGAAATCTGGTATTGGTCTCATGCCTAACTTTTTTGTAGATGCCTTGTTTTATTCTCTCTGGAAACATCTAGGATCTTCTCTTTATCTTTGTTATTGTGAGATGGCATAAAAATATGCCTGAGAATAGTTTTATTATGGTTGGCCCTTGAACAGCTCGGGGTGGTTAAGGGCGCAGACTTCCCACACAGTCAAAAATCCTCGTATAATTACAGTCAGTCCTCCGCGTACTGGTTCCCAACCATGGCATTGACCCTTGAACAATGAAGGTTTGAACTGCACAGTCAATTGAAAAAAATTCCATGTATAACTAGACCCGCGCAGTTCAAGCCTTCTTGGTTCAGAGTAAACTGTAATTTGTTTGTTTGTTTTCAGTGAGGTCCCTTTATCGGGCCTTGGCAGCTGAAGATCCCTGTTTCCTTCAAAAGTTTCTGGGACATTTTCTTTCATTACAGCTTTCATAGTTCCCTGCCCTATGGTTTCTTTGTTTTCTCTTGTGGAAACTTCCATCAGACAGAATTTGGTCCTTTTTAGTGAGTTTCCATGTCTTTTACCTTCTTTCATATTTTCTATTCCTACTTAAAATTAGGTCTACGACCTGGGGAATTTCCTTGATTTTATTTTCTGGTACTTCTGCCTAATGTATTGTTTCAGAAGTTACAAGCACGTCCTTACTTTGTTGATTTTTTTCTTATTGCACCCTGGTTTTGTTTTATGGATAGAGTCGCTTCTATGCACGCATGCGCGCACTTTTCTCCAGAATTGGTGTTTTGGTTAATTTATCTTTGGTCTCTTGTTTTCTTAACATGGCAAGCAACCCCACGGGGTCCAGTCATATCGAAGAACAAAAGCCTGAGTTGCTGAGTCAAAGTAGATGTACACTTTCTGCTCCATCACTTGAGCACTTTGCCTGATCATATGCGCAGGCCTATTTTCTCACAGGTAGATCTCCTAAATCAAAAGGCTGAAAGAATATGCTGTGTACACACATGGATCTTGAGAATAAACAGCAAAATGCCAAAGTGAGAAGGGCTCTGCTCTGGGGACCGTCAGGACTGCTATTCTGCCTCCCCACAACTGCTGCCTATCTTTAGTCCTTCTCGTCACTCCCAGCCTCCATTCTTGGGATGCTGAAGCTCCCACCTCCATTGCAGCCCCACCCTGCACGCATTCTCAGCATTTTGAATTTCACCTGTCAACACGCACCTTCTGCTTTCCGTTCTAAACATCAGTGACTCCATTTCTGATGTCTTCTCTATTACTTTCCTGTTATTCAGCTCTGTTACTGTTATTCCAGGGAAGTCTGAGAAGGAAGGAGGGGAAATAGGCTTGTGCACTTCGTTTTGAACTGGAGCCATTCGCGCTTTTGTGAAATTATAATTTCTCAGCCCTAGTCCAGCAATAGTC